TGAGGATGTTCTCATTCTTGATAGAGAGGAACGTTGGTTTGAGAGAGGAGTGTGTTTGTGTGTGTGTGTGAATATGACAGAGAGTTATTGCTTCATTATGTAATTGTCTGAATTGTTTTGTGTTTCCAGCAGATCTGCAGCCACAGAAGGGTCCCACACCTGACTCCTCCATGGAGATGAGCAACAAGATAACAGATTAAACTTGATAATATCCTAAAAATAAACACAAAAATCAAGAAAAATTGGTTCGTTTTTCACACAAACTTCACTTAAAGATCCAGAGGATTTTTCTCATTTTGATAAGAGTCATGTGTTGTTTGTTAGAGGATCAGTTTAAGTTCATCCATGAGGACAAATCTTCCTCTCAGGTTCTTCTTCATTGTGTGCAGAACATGATACCAGTTCATCATCTACCATCTTTATTTTATTTTATTTTATTATTTTATTTAAAATACCTCCCATACTGGCTTCATACAGAGTATTTGAAAAGTAAAAGTATTTTTTTGTAAATACTGGATTTTTATTGTTACATGAATTCACAAATAAAATATAGGTGCTCAAAGAGCTTGAGTGTTTTAAGTTTTAATGTTTTACATATCAGATAATAAAATGAGTATTTTGTTTTAATGTTAAGTTTTTGTCTTTTTTTATTAAAACAAATATGATGTCTAAATAAAAACTAATGCACAAAGTCAAAGAATGACCAGAAACAATAGACAAAGTATTCTTTAACATTGTTTGTTTTACTAAAACAAATATATGAAGATAAATCTGTTCTTGTACAAGAAAAAGTTTAATAATCTTTCATGAAATATTAATGTACACCCAGATAACACAACACAACACAACACACAGTTAACATTTAGCTGCCACAGCTAATCAGCATTAGCCAACAACAAAAACACACAATTATTACTTTGATTCAAACCTCCTCAGTGGGTCATGAGCTAAAAGTACAGAAACACAAAAACAGGTAAAAGTAGTATTACCTTTGGTGGCAGGTAAAATAATAACCACTGTATCATGTTGTGTGCTTTGTGATCACATTTAGTTAATTAGGATAAAAAATGTGTTTGTGTTTTGGTTTAATTTAAAAAAAAAGTCAAACAGAAAAGTGATTTCTTTATTTCTTTCATGGTTAATCTGTTTAKAATTTACTGGTATAAGTACTGCAGTATAATAATACTGCAATATAGGAGTATTTTCTTTGTRTTAAACATAAAGTGGGACATAAAAGCATTTAATATTTTATTATGGGCCAGCTCATGTGAACAATCTGTGCTGGGTTCGTCAATAAAATATGGTTTATTTGTGTCCACCAGGTGGCGCAGTTTTACTACAGAAGAGATCTGAAGGATTTCAGCTCAAAACTGAATCAGATATTCAATCAAATCTGTCTGAACTGCTGACATTATAACATRAGAAAAGCTCAAAGAAGTCGAGTTTGCATAATATCCTCCTTTTAAAAAAAACACTATAAATTCAACGAATTGACTTTAAAATGACAAAACACAGAAAAAAGATAAAGTAGATTCTCTGTTGTTATTTCCACACCAAAAATTAAAGATTATTGAAAATAATGCAACTTTATTTTCTTGTTTGAAAGTTGCCCAGCTGTCAGAAGAATGCATTAAGGAGAAACCATAAAAATGTTTAACATTTTAAGCTCTTCATGAATAGTGAGGTAAAAACATTTTAAATTTTAATTAAAACTATTATTTTAATGCCTCTTTTTTGTCCAACATGTAGCAAACTGATAAATGGAGGTGTTAAATAATGTATATTTACATATAAAAATAAATAGTGTCCTTGCTCTGTGTAGTCTGTAGGAGTGCAGAAAATGTTAGTTTAGTCTCTCCTAACCTGTTCAATTTTCTTCATTTTAACCATGTTTTCTGAACTATAATGTCAAATTATTTGTGGCAAATTTTCTAAATAAGGTCCAGACTTACAGGAGTGCAGTTGGAGTGTGAAATGTCTTGTTAGGATTTAAAGAGACAGCCTCAAAATGAGTTGGTGGAGGAGCTTGTGGAGCTACAATAAGGAGGAGTTCAGACCTAACTGATGTATTTACATGTAAAAACTGATTTAAAAGCATTATACGTCTCCTTTAAAGTGTTACATTTGGGGCCAGATAATGTGAACGAGGGCCAGTTTTGGCTTGCGGGCCTTGAGTTTGATACACCAAGTCTCCAAGCCAACAATAGTTTCACTGCATGTAGACCAAGCTGGGGTCTACGTGTGGTCTTATAGAGACCCCCAGACCTGCTGAGTGTTTATGAGACTGGCACAGATGAAGTAGGTCAGACCGGGGACAGTTGCAACACTTTTAATTTGACTCTGTTCCTCAGAGATGGTTTGAATTAGACAAACCACATTTTAATAAACTTACATCTGTCTGTTAACAGTCTAAACCATTTATAGATGATTAAAGCATGTACATTCTTCACTATTTGTATTTGAAAATGAAAAGTCAGATGTTGCAACTGTCCCTTGTTGCTACTGTCCCCGGTCTGCCCTAATAAAATGTCTTGTTGTACCTGAGTGGACCTCACATGTCAACATAAAGCAGCTGTTGAACGTCCACGGCTGAATCCCAACATGTCAGCACGTTTGTGTTGTCGTGACCTGCAGCAGAGCGAGCAGGGAGGTCAGAGGTCAACTCAGTCATGGTGCATTAAAGCTGCACTGTCATGGTGCTGTTTCTCAGGTGGAAACATCCATCCAAACATTTCTTATAAAAAATAAAAATGAAGGTGTTTATGTGCAAACGGGTGCCAAGCCATTGTTAAAGGTTCTGGCTCTTTATTGGGAAGTTCTCCAGTGTTTCCCTTTGTTTTCTCAGCTTTTCAACGTGTAATTTTCCAGAAGCTGCGAGTCGACTCRGACCACGCAGGGGGAAAGCAGGGCAGCGTGACGTGCAGACGTTTCTCAACAACAAACTGAAAGGTATGTGGAAAATATTCTGGAGATTGACCCGTATTTAAAACACAATAGGTATTGTGTGGAGAGTTTATCGGCATACCTCTGTGTTTCCACAGGAAACTGTCACAATRGTTAATAAATTGTATCAAAAGGACTGAGGGAGTCGGGATCTGTGAGGGTCCCGTCAGGGGGGGCAGTCACACGTGGTCTCAGAGGAGTGCTCCTCAATCAGAATGATATCTTTGTATCATTAATAAGCAGAAAGTGGCTCATGAAAATGACACATGTTCTGTGTAAGACAAGAAGCAGATTATCTGCCTGGTGTTGGAGCTCCTCTCCTTCCACCGCTCAGCAGCACAGCACTGATAAGACGCATCACACCACATGTGTGCATGTGATGAGGGACTACTTTCTCTTATCGTAGGCCAACGGCTGCCGTGACGTGACGTCATGCAGAAGACGAGTCCCCTCCACCCCTCTGTCCTGTCACTTCTTCTGTSCATTACATCACTTCCTGTGTGTAGCAAAGACAAACACACGTCTGCAGTTTGTCCACGACAAAACTAAACTGTTGCAAATCACTTGGAAACGTTGGAGTTTACTGCAGTGAACACAAAAACTGTGAATGGATTGTTCAACACGATTTATTTATTTATTTATTTAATTTATTTATTTATTTATTTA